TTCTGACACGGGTAATGCTTGTAAATCATTTATACATCTATGTATTTATCATTCTAGATTTCCTTACCTATCTTTAAAGCAACATATATTTCAAATCCAATTTTAGTTGAATATTTTTAGTCCATGTAAATTTAATTATGAGTTTGGATGAGTTATAAATGAGAATCAATAAGCTTGATTTACAGTGAGATTATTTCTAAGGATTAATTGATTAGACCTTAGATTTTTCAAGTTATTACACTGTACACACTTCTTACACTTGGAAAATACATTTATACATATAAGAGGTACGAGCATATTTTGAGAGGAACAATTAAATCATTCTGGAAGAAAACAATTTTGATAAAGTAAAGCATCATTGTCAAGCAAGCCTTTTTTTGTGCCGTTGTCAAAAAATAATGGTTCAATTTGAAAGGTGATTCAAATTGACGGGCAAGAAAGTCTTGTGATTTTCATCACGAGCCTAGGAAAGTTTTTCTGCTGTAAATTATTGGAAAATTTTTATTTTCTTTGTAAATAATTTTCTATGTTTTCAAACTCTTTTTATATGGTGTCAAATCACTTATGGAGTATACGTGTGAGATTTGTGCTAAGTATAGACGTATCACTGATGAGTACTCTTTAATTTCAATGGTTTAAAAGTTTTATTGGGATCACTCTAATACAATACTGGATTCGAAACAACTTCACCTCAACATTGCGTTGAAACTTTCTACCCAAATTGTAGTTGGGAGAATGAACATTATCAGTTACCGGTCCACCATATCATGACCCACAAGAAAAGTGTTTGAAAAACATTATGGATGCATTTATGCAAACCCAACTAAATATCGATGCTCAAACGAGCCAAGATTTTGAAGAGTTAAAAGATATCCTCAAAACATTGACCATAATAGTTAATATTTTGAACTAAGGACAACAAGTTGAGCATGGTCAATATTGTGAGAGTGATTCTTTTTCTGAACTACCATATGAGAATGAATCCATTGATACTCTTGATAATGAAAAATTAAGTGACATTATTATTCCACAAGAGGCTAACGAGCCTAAGGAACTTTCATTATCAAAGAGTACTAATGAGATTTACATATTTAAGCTTGGTGAATGTACGAAGGTTGAGTTGAGTGCCATAATTGACAAGGATCCATTTGGTACCTTAATCTTGGATTTGCATAAAAATGTATATATCATCTTTTTGTTAAATGTTCCAAAGGTGTGTCAAGTGTATGAGTGGATGGTTAGATTAGAGGAGTTGCTTAGATACCATATTTATAAGTCATTAAAAGTAAATTGACACATATTCAAATCCGAATTTAAGCCGGATTGATTGTGAGCTTGTATCTTTTCTTTGTACATAGTAGTTATAGTTTTGTTTTTCTTTCTTTTGAGTTTTATTTTTTGGTTTTTATTTCAGTCTTGTTTGAGTTTATTTTGTTGTACTTATTCCTTTTTGTATAGTTCTTTTGTTTTTTTGTAGCTGGTGTTTTTTCTTTTTAGAGCTCGACACTAGGTGTTTTCTTACTCTTATTGTATTCATTTTTCTCATTGCATGACTGTTTTTGTATTTGAAGACAATAGATGATTTAAGTTGGGGGGTGAAGGTTACACCATAATCCTATGTTACACCACCATGTTGATATTGAAAAAATAAAAAAAATTTGTTTTAAAATTGAAAAAAAATTGAAAATCTTGAAAAAATTTTGAAAAAAAGAAAAGAAAAATAAAGCATCCAATTTGGACTATATTATTCTCTCTTAATTAGCATGAGATTTTTGATTATTCAACTTGAATTTTGAGTTATTTGCATGTTAGCACACTATAGGAATTTATTCTATGTTTAAATATCATATGCATATATTCATGTGAACTCAACCCATGTGTACCATGAGAATGCTATTTTTTTTTGTAATTTATTGAATGAAATTCACATATTAAAAGACTTGACATAAATAGTGGAGATGAATGTATTACCTTTGTGAGTTTTTGTGGCATTCTATGTTAAAAGATTGAAATACATTTACTCAAAAAGACTATTATTTCAAATTCAATCTCTTTCAATAATCTCATTATTTTATTTTTGTTAGTGTGACGGAGATGCAAAAAGAGTACCTTGCCATACACTTTTGGAAAATGATTTTAGGTCATATTTGAATTAATTTGAGCCTTAGCCTATTCTTTATTGACATCATCACTAGAAGTTGTGATTGAGCTTTAATGAAAATTTCATTAATTGGCTACATGTTCTACCAAGCCATACATATATGTGTTTAACTTACCTTGGTTATCCTGTGATTGATATTGTTTATAATATGAAGAGAAAATTGTGGTTATAAGAAAAGAAAAGAAAAAAGTGAAAGAAAGGAGGATTATGAGTACATGAATTGTTGACATCTAAAAGCATAGCAAGGAAAGCAAGAAAGAATGGAAGTGAAAAGAAGATAGAAAAAAGAAAAGAAAAAAGAAAAGAAAAAAGGAAAAAAAGGAAAAGAAAGAGAAATGAATTAGGTGAGTCAATTGATTTCCAAATGAGGAGATGTGAATAGAAAATTTGCATTTTTGGTATAACTCCTTTTGAATTCCTATATCTCTTCGTTTCTTTAGCTTTTACCTAAGGTCATGTTACAACAAGATTAAGGTCATATTTGATCTCGAGAATGGTGACAAGTGTATGTACTAAATCATGTTAGAGATAGGTCAATTGTACTATTTTTATTTGCCCTAACATACTTTTCATGAGATTATGTAGAGGTCGCTTCATTTGCATGATAGCCCTTCAATTCTAAATTATATGTAGGCTAACATTGTTTTGAACTATAAGAATTCATCTCACATATAGACAAAGAGTGAAACATCACCATAATAAGAGCTTTAAGCAAAAGGTCATGGGAAAGCATTGAAATGAAGAGGAATTGAACTAGATGAGCAAAAAAGGAAAAATTAGAAAAATGGTGCTTCAACCGATTCAACATGTTCAACCTATTTATGTGTACACTTTGATTTCTTATCGACGGATTTCTGGCATGAGTAATTATTGGATCTTTGAGTAGATGCATACATTTACATATTTATCATCTTAGAATCAATTTTGAAAACTAGTTGTTAAGTATTCACCTTGATTTCTCGTCAACAGTTCTTCCGGCAAGGGTAATGCTTGGAAATCATTTATACATCTATGTATTTATCATTCTAAATTTCATTACCTATCTTTAAAGCAACATATATTTCAAATCCGATTTTAGTTAAATATTTTTCGTCCGAGTAAATTTGATTATGAGCTTGGATGAGTTATTAATGAGAATCAATAAGCTTGATTATGGTGAGATGATTTCCGAGGATTAGCCGATTATTTTCCATTTGATTTCATTATAGTAGTTGCTACTCTCACAATTTTCCAAACACCAAGAGTCCAAGACTTTTCATTTTATTTTATAACACATCACCACTTGAATTGCCATTGTTCCTTTAGGAGATGACCTCAGATTTTCCGAGTTACTATGCTATACACACTTCCTATGGTTGGGAAAATACATTTCAAAGGTGCGAGCATTTTTTGAGAGAAATAATTGAATCATTCTCGGAGTCTATGAGAAAAATAATTTTGATAAAGTAAAGCATCTTTGACAAGCAACACAGCAGCCATTTCTTGTAGATTCGAAAGGACAAGATGAAGTTCGAGAGTCTACACATGGAAGCTAAGCCGCACACTCTAAGTTCTACAACCAATCACACGGTGACAATTAAGCAAAACGATTAGGGCGAGAACAATTCAAATTCGAAGAACCAAAATGATGCTTCGAATGTGAAGCGTTCCATCACAACGTTTTAGGGGGGCAATGTTTACACCTAAAATATTAAAATATGAGAATAACATGTGGCAAAGATCCATTGGTCAGGAGAAAGTCAATGAGAGTCCAAGAATAATATGACGATTAAGGAAATAGGACTTTTAGAATCCTGAGAAACAAGAAAAAGTGATATCATGAGCCGCTAATTAGAAACGATTCAATACACATTTGAGAGTATCGAGGGAAGAGAAAATAAATGTAGTCATGGCCGAAAAAAATAACTTCAACGATTGAGGCCCATTTCCTATAAATACAGAGGGTAGAGCTATAGAGAAGAGATCTCTCGATCAACACAACAACTACACACAGATCCAACCTCTCCTTTACTTAATTTATTTTCTTGCAAGCTTCATTTGGCTTATAACCCATCCCTCCAGTGATTTTTATTTTTGTTTAATGCCAAGTTCAGTAGTTTGCATATTTATTTTTGTTAATCTGTATGTTATTTTCAATTCCATTTGCTTTTTGACATTGTAGTCCATTACATTACGAGTTAGAAACTAATTAAGTCTTTGATCTCCGAGGCGGAGAAAATTACTTAGAAATATTTTTACACTTCGCTACAATCGCCTGAATAGTCACAATTTTAAAACCTCACGCCAATTCAAATAGAAAAGATTGCACGCGTTTAAATTTTAAGTCTAGTCGAATTTTAGTACATTTGCAATCCGAAAATACGCTAAATAATCGTGTAAAATTATAATGACGCTATACTTACTAAATTTATTTATCAAAATCTTTAATTTATCTGAATATTATATTAGATCATCTGATTAAAATGCTTGATAAACATAACATTGCAGTCAAATTAATGGTACTAAATCGAGCTCTTAAGCTATACAACCGGTTTCACATGTCATTGTGTAATCCATGTCCACTTTTTCCGCTTCCTTTTCTACCCTGTAACTCTCTCCTATTTAAAGCACCAGTTACCCAACTGTGGAATCTTTTTCTACACTTGAGAGGTGCAGAAACCTATCCCCAAACTAAAACAAATTCCAAAACCAAAACCTCAAACAACTCCTAAAACATTCCCCTCACTCCTCCCTAATCTTCCTGATCCTCTCTCTGTTGGTGCACTGATTGAATCCGATAATCATCGTCATCGCAAACCAATTCTAGGACGGTTTTTTTTTTGGCTAGGGTTCGTTTTCGATGGATTCGGAGGACGATATGCACGATGCGAACGATGTTGAGTCACTGGACGACGATTTCTACAGCGGAGACTATGAAATGGAAAATTATGGTGACAACGATGAGATGCCCGATTTCGACTTCATGGACAACGACACCGATGACTCCGATGAAGTCTCTGCCAGTCGGCAGCAGGTGAATTCTCGAAAAGCACTTGATTTTTAGCATTTATTGTTTTGTGATTACGATAATTGAATCAGTTTTGATGATCATAGTGATAGACCGCCCCAAGAAACATTTTCAGCTGAATACGGTTTTGAGGATTTAATAACTGACATGGAAAATGGTGTGATGATCATCTGCTCCTACATTGTCGGGTTGCTTTATCATTGTGGAGAACGCTATCATCATTTTATTGCGAAGATTTTTGTGAATGAGTTTAAATGCTGTGGGAAGAGTCAAAAAACTTGTTCTGTTTGAAGAAATGTGGTGTTGGCAATCTTGGGATCTTATGCTTAGAGAAGAATGATATGTTTTTTCGATATAAGGTGTATGATGTAGATGATCTATGGGACAAAGTTTGTTTGTTGTCATCTTTTTAGGTTTCATATCTCTCAATTGTGTCAAAATTTAAGGCATGTAATTTTGTTTTTTCTTTCTTTTTTCCATTCTCTTTCTTGGTGGGCTTTGCATTATCTGCATGTATACATTTTTTCCATCATTAATTATTTATTCTGTTGCTAATAAAAAATGGTGGTGGTTCATTGTATGGTTATGCATGCCTGTACATGTATGTGAACGGGTTTGTATACTTTTTTTTCCATCATTAATAATTTGTCCTGATAAAAATAGTGGTGATTCATTGTATACTTACATTTATATGAACATATGATGTTGATCATAGGTTTATCAGGTGAATTCCCAAAAATTGATAACTTTTAGGGCAACCTTCTTCAACTTGTGTTTAGGGTATTCTGCACATCACCCCCTCTCGTTTGAAAATATACACATAACCCCCATATGTGTTTGGACTAAAATGAACTGCTTACACTGTTAACAGTAGTGGCAAAAAGATATTCTTACCCTCAATGTCATCTTCTCTTCGTCTTCTTCTTCACTTCAATGACTGAAACACCACCGCCACCCTCACCCCTCTATTAACCATCTTCTTCTCAAATAATTCGTATCCGCAACCAACCCTCCCCTCTCTCACCCTAGAAACCTACCATTCTCAATACCTACAACATCTCTAATCCATTATTTTGTTGGTGAAATCTATTTGGCAGAACAAAGAGTGGCAACAAAGTTGCAATTCATGCAAATCATCTGGGTCTCCACTGGTGCCCACCAGTTTTTTTCTTGATCATCAACATCCATGGAGTGAAGGGGAGGAAGAAAAGGAGGGAATCTCCACCGGTACCAACTGTGACAACCACCCACTTTGCAATTTCATGTACTCCCTCACTGTGCACAACCTCAATTTCTCAAATTGAAATCAAAACAAAAATTTGAACTTAAGATTGAATTCCAGATAAAAATGACAAATTAAAAATTAAAAAATAAAAAAATAGAAAATTGATTTCAAGTCGAAATCAAATAGATTCGAAAAATGGAAAATTGAGAGAGAGAGAGTGAGTGACCTGTGCACAGTGGAATTATGTGAGAAGTGGGTGTGGTGGGGGCTAGTTGGTGTGTCATTTTACATTTAAGATTGATTTTTATTTAAATTATTTTTATACCTACTTTTGAGTTAAGCACGTACATCACAAAATCCATTTAAGTTGACAGAGTTTGTAACGGTTGCAGTTTAGTCCAAAAGCATATGGGAGTTATTTCAAATGAGAGGGGGTTGATGTGCAGAATATCTTAACCACAAGGGGGTTAAAAGAAGTTTGGCCTAACTTTTAACTTCTTTGGTATTACACTTTTTGATAATGGATGGAAAATTGTTGTGTTTTTAGGTTATTTATGCATATAGCACACATATTTGTTATGGTAGCCTACTTGGGTTTAAATCAAAGAATATGGGTTATAAGTGTAATTGTAGTGCATTGGCGATGAGTGTAACGGGGTTTAGGTTCTGTGCGAAACAGGTTTTGGATTCTAATTGCCTGATGTTTCCAATTGAGTCATGATATTTTAGCTCCTTGTATCTTCTTGAGTTTAATTGTTGGTGGATAAAATTGTTTCTTGTCACCAAAGCCTTTTGTTTAAGTGTTTAGTTTCTACTAGTGGTTTGTATTCTGATTTTACTTATCTGATTAAGCTGATTTTGCTACTTTATTTGTAATCTTCTTAATAGTGCCGTGGAGCTCCTTTTCTTCTTTCCAGTGATACACTAGTTTTTTTGGCCGAAGTGATAGAATTAGCAAATTGGGCTGGGTTTATGGCTAGAATTAAAATTAGCCGGTAATTATTAATTATAGTGTGCGGTGGTTCTACTGGAATCGAAAGTGGGATATCACCAGATAATTTCAGAGTTGAGAGTGGAAGTTGTTGCTTCTCTGCAAGTGCAATGCAAGATGGCTGGAACTGTGAGAAGTTTCTTCCCAATAAAATTCCTAGTTTGTTGTCCATGCATCTTCTAGTTATCATAAAAAACACCGAGTGAACAATTACAGACTCGGTAACATTGCCGACTGGATGTACTCTGCTGTGTGATCTCTTAGGTTGTTAAATTTTAGTCTGAAATTTTCCTGCTTCATTATTTTCTTGTCATTTGTTGTCTTTGTTCTTTTTCGTTAATTGCTTTATGATTTGGATAGAAGCTGAAAATATATTCTGTGCATTTCTTTCTTTAAGAATGAGAAGGTGACTGTAAATCAAATGCAGTTGTTTTTAATTTGATTTTTGTTTTGTGTCATGGCCAACCACAATATTTTAGAACCATAACGATAACGTTTAAGAATAGAAAGCTAGTAACCTGGCAGGAACTATACAAGTGTTAAAAATATGGATCATCTGCAATTAAGGATCTCTTCTTATCCTTGTTCTGGTGTACTTGTTTTTTGGATGGAACTATCCTGTTCTTCTTCTATGATCATTTTCTTTGTATACTGTTTAACAAGACACTCGATAATATTTTTCTATGATCCTATGCTTCAATACTTGTTGGAAGTGGATAGACAATTGTTATTCCTAACTTCAACTCAAATTCCTGTTTAAATCCTACTTTAAAGGATATTTTCTGTGGGCACATATTTGTTGGGCTGAACTAAGGTTTTGAGTTTAAGGGTTCTATGACGTTTGTGTAAACGAGTTTCTGTTTTTTTTATCTCTCTCTGGATGAAGCCTAAATACAATATGCATATCACAATGTAGCTATTCTTTGTGCGCTTGTTTTCACTTATGAGTTCCAGGATTACTGCAAGTTCATTGTTGTGTTTTCTCGTTCTGTCATTTGTTTTGTCTCTAATTTACACATTCTGTTTTATGTTTCAGAAAACTTATACCGTCTGGAAGGAAGAAGATATACGCCAGCGTCAAGAGGATGATATTGCAAGAATTTCTGCCGTTCTTTCAATACCAAAAGTAGCTGCATGCATATTGTTGCGCCGTTATAACTGGTAAATAGTTCATTTACTTGGTGCTTGTCACCAGTAGTTGACATTGATGTTGATTATTCACCTTTCTTACATGATATATATTTTTGGTTTGGTGGCTTTGGGCCTGCCTGTTCAGAAACATTGTATGTGATCATTGTGAGGCTGTAACATGTGAAGCATGGTGGGAATATTTAAATGCCATGATATTCTCAGTCTGCATTCACATGCGATAGTACTATATCAACATTATTTAGTTTGTTGATTCATTTTATGAAAATTTGACTACTTAGGGATCTGAATAACGTGTATGAGGCATGGTTTGCTGATGAAGATGGGGTTCGCAAAGCTGTGGGCTTATTGGAGAAGCCAGTTGTTCAATTTCGGAATGAAGAAGTGAGTTAGCAACAACTTAGACAGAGTTTGACAGTTTTGTCTTTGTAAACATAGCACAATGCTCCGCATCATGTGGGCATTGCGTTTTACTTCTTGCTTTACTCTTTTATGTCGCATAATATATTCATTTATTTTTGGGCAGCTGACCTGTGGGATCTGTTTTGAAAGATATCCTCTTGATGGGATGCGTGCTGTTGCTTGTGGGCATCCTTTTTGCGTTACATGCTGGACAGGTTTGTCTTGTTATGCCAGAGATCGTTGGACTCGTTTGTGCTGGCATCTAGTTATATCACATACTTTAGTAATGAAAACGTACTACACTTATTGTTATCAAGAAGCTAAAATCATTGCAAGGGGAAGCCAATACCCCTTGGATTTCCACATTTTTTGTGGTCTTGATGGATACATTTTAATTTGTAAGATGCTCACTCATCTTCTGTTCAATTTTTATGCTTAGTAGTGCATTTGCATCGATATACTTGTAAGTACATTATGTGTGAACCTTGGTATGCATGAGAGTTTCCAGCATAAAAGCTAAATAGAATTGAAGAACGAGGAAGATGAACATGCCAATTATCTTGGGAAAGAAAGTAAGAATGAACAGATTTTTTTTTTTTTGGTGGATATGGGTTGTGTTAAGTGGTTGAGTGTTATGCTAGTTGATGCAGCGAAGTGGAGTTCTGAGATTTTCTTCTGGAAGTTTAGTGGACAGGCATTTCATTTATTAAGGAAGTGAATTAGAGCGGGTGAGCTAAGTTCCTTGCAATATTAAGAATCCAAAATTCTGGAATTTGTAGTTTCATTATTCTTCCTCAAGGTTATGATAACCTTGATTGGATGAAATTATCATTGACACATTGGCTGGTTTTTGAAGTGAGGTTGTGCAAATGGAATGAAATGTGGTTTGCGGTATTCTGGCGATGGCTTGAAGGAAGGTAGAAACATGGGATAGTTTTTAATTGAGTAAAGAAGTGTTGGCAACAGAGCAAGATCTAAACAAAAAGTAGATGACTTCTAAAATAGCTATGATTGATCACGCAAAGTGGGATTTAGCAATAGTTTGTACAAGGAAAAGTATGTTTAACCCTTGGAGGGTGATTCAAAATGCCCAAGCAAAGCTCTGGGAATTTATTTTTATTTTGAATTCCTTATGGGTGATGAAGACATTTTCTTTTGTGGGATTAAAAAATTGTTGAAGAAATTTTGAGTATGAGAGTTGATTTTCGAAAGGACCATTGACAGTATGCATGAAGAAATGGATAGCATAAGAGATTTTTGGTATAAAACAGAGTCTCCTTAGGCGGTTGGAGTGGAGTGGAACAATTACCATTTCATTTGTGGTCCACATAACTTTTTAAAAGGGTGGTGCATTTTGTGCAGGTCTTATTGAATGGGATCGTAGGATGAAAAGTAGGAGTAAAAAAATCAAGCTACAATTAAGGTTAGTTGGATGGATTTTGACTTCGTTCAAATCTCTTTGGAATAAGGTCAATCATATGGATTTTGGCTTCCTTTCAATCTCTTTGGAAGTTGATGATCAATGGAAAGTTTATATGATCAGCATGAGGGGAATTTCGTGGCTGATGCGTCGCGTAGTCGTCTCTCGTCGATGATCGCTACATTTTGGGGGTAGCATGGAACTTGCATCCACCCGTCTCAAGGTTGAAGATTGTTGGGGTAGGACAGGGGTATTCCGAGCATTTAACACATTAGAGCTTGGGACACGAATCCAAATCTTCCATGACACCCCCTCCAAATCAACAAGAATGAAGCTACCAACCCATCTGCTACTTTTGCTAACCAATTTAGTCAATTATGGATCCTTTTTGGCATACTACCAAGTTTAATGTTGGCATGAGATGTTCTCCTTCCTTGTTGAGTTGGCATATGTGTTATTGCTCTATCAGTATTGGACCATGCTAGCACTATTTGTTCTTATTTTTTCATGTAACGTTATCTCTTAAGAAAGTACAATTACCAGTGATTGATCTCTGATCTGAGTGAGAACCAATCTAATCAGCATCTGAAAAATCTTTCACTCTAAAATGTTTATTAGCTCAGTACAACAACCCAAGACTAGAAGCACGTTTGAGGTATCGAAGAATGCGAATGGCTGCCTCCCAATGTGGTATTCTAGGGTATCCCATAAATTGCGTTACTTCACTAACTGTATAGGTAATATCTGTTCGGGTAATAGTGAGATAATTGAGCTTTTTAACCAACCTGCAGTACTAGCATGTATTCTCAAACATTGCACCATTATCCATCAACAATTTCTGATTTGAATCTATAGGAATATCAATTGATTTGTCACCTAGCAAACTTGTTTTCTCTAGCATGTCAAGTATATATTTCCTCTAAGACAAACAAATACCCTATAAAGATATGGCAATTTTAATTTTTGAGAAGTACTTGAGTTTTCCTAAGTCCTTAGTGTAAAATCAGTCTTTCAAGAAGGCTTTTAACTTGGCAATATCCTCGAAATCATTATTAGTAATTACAATATCATTCACATAAACAGTCAATTGAATATATCCGACATCAGTCAGTATGTGGAAGACAGAGTGGTCTATCTGACATCGAATAAGACCAAATTTTTAAACTGCATTTGAAAACTTGCCAAAACATGCCTTTGGTGACTACTTCAAACCACATAGAGATTTCTTTAATCGGTTCAAACTTTTATAGTACTTCTCTTGAGTAGTAAACCCAAGTAGCTTGAGTAGTAAACCCAAGTAGCTGCTCTATGTAGACCTCCTTAGCTAAGTTATCGTGTAAGAAGACATTCTTTACATCTAATTGAAATAAGGACCAATCAAGATTAGCAGTCAAACCCATCAACAACCAACAATCTTTTTACCAGGCAGGAAGGGAACAAAATCCCAAGTTCCATTCTGACTTCCATAGCTTTTTTCCAATTCAGATTAGATAACACACCCCATAAGGTGTTAGGAATAGAAATAATAGACAGTTGAGAGGTAAAGTAAGAGAAGACTGGAGACAAGACATCATAAGAAATAAAATTAGTAATGAGATAGTAACACAAGATCGAGTACCTTTCTGAAGAGTAATAGGTAAAGAGTCATAAGTATTTGAGGGACTAGGCTCAAGAGACGACAAGAAAGATGGTAAGGCCATTTCAATCAATGATCATGGATGACTAGAGTATATACGGAGCGGAGTAGAGGTGGAAGTGGGTGGTAGCATAGTAGGCGACAGAATAATTGATGGTAAGGGTAGGGGTGGAGTTGAGACCCAAAGTCAAGATCCACGAGCAAGAGCTAGAAAATATGGAGTTGATTTAGTAAAGGTGATAGTAGCACTAGTGAAGTACCAGTGAAGTGTAGTACTATAACAACGATATTTCTATGTGCATAAGTAACCAAAGAAGACACATTGGGTAGTACGAGGGTCAAGTTTATCGAATTCAGGACCTTCGTTGTGATTATAACAGACACATCCAAAAACCTTAGGAGTTGAGAAAAATAAGGGGGTATTAGGAAAAATGACAGAATATGTACTTTGTCCATTTAACACAAAAGATGACATACGATTAATAAGGTGACAAGCAATAAGAACAACATCACCTCACATTTAACACAGAAGATGATATACTTTTAATAAGATGACAAGCAGTAAAAACATCACTCTAAAAACATTGAGGAACATTTATCTGGAATAACAGTATGCGGATCGCGGGCAATTTCTAATAGATGACAATTCTTACGCTAAGCGACAACATTTCGTTAAGATGTGTAGGTGCAAGAAGTTTTGATAAATAATGTCAATTTTATGAAGATCAAACCAAAAAGGATCAGATTCATAGTTATGAGCATTGTCAGAACGAAAAATACGACAACGACAACTATACTCGATTTTGATTTTTTTATGAAAGGTCTCAAATATAAAAAATAATTCAAAACGAGCTTTTATAAGAAATAATCAAGTTATACGAGAATAATCATCCATAAATGACATAAAATAAGAAAATTTATTGGATGAAATATTTTTTATTGGATTTCATACATCAGAATATACTAACTCAAAAGTACTAGACACACGGTTATTGACTCTAGATTGAAAGGATACACGGTGATGCTTATTAAGTTGACAAGATTTACAAGACACAAACGACACAAAATTAAGGTTAGGAACTTGACGTTTTAGATTCTGGAGAGAAAGATGACTAAGACGATAATGCCACTAAAAGAGAGATGACAAGGTCTGAAGTGCTCGAGGAGGTGGATTAAGGTCAAAGTAATAGAGACCATGAGCTTCATATCCCAGACCAATATTCCTCTTCGGCTGGAGATCCTAAAACACATAATAAGAGGGATAAAAGGTTACTGAACAATGAAGGGATTGAGTAATCTTGTTAATAGAAAGTAAGCTAAAGAAAAACTTAGGGACAAATAAAACAAATGATAAGGACATATGATGACTCAATTGAGGAGTTTCCAAACCTGAAACTTTAGAGGAAGTAGTATTAGCAAGAGTGACATTGTATGGGAAAGCAACACAATGGTAAGTAGAGAAGATGCCAGACAAACCAGTCATGTGATCTGAAGAGTCGGAGTTTATGATCCAGTGACTGTGGATGGAGGATGGTAAACAAGTGGAAGTGGTACCTTACTAGTAGTGGAGGAAGATGGAGTAACCAACTCCCGAGACATGAACTGAGTGTACACATATCGTGCAATAGTAACTAACTCAGAGTTAGAGTCGACCGAGATATGGGAGTAGGTAGTGAGGAAGTGTCATCTTGATAGGAGACCTGATTAGAAGTACCAGAGGGTTTGCCATGTAAATCTTAACAATAATCAACAGCGTGGTTTGGACGACCACAATGAGTGTATGAACGAAAATCAGTACGACCTTCATTATGGCCTCTACGACCATTGCGATTGCCACGGTCACCTCAAGGTTTATTACTGTTGCCATTAAGATAAGAAGAGTTGAGTGTTTAGTGGATAAGCCATGAGCAATACCTAAAGTTGAAGAGCCAGTAGAGAAGGTAGCACGCTGTAAATGGGAGAAGACATCAAGAAGAACTGAAAGACTGGAGCCACCCAAAATTTGAGAGTGAATAGGCTCATACTTAAGTTTCAAACCGATCAGGGAATGAACATGTAAATCCTTATGCTGTCACCGCAAAACTACAACATCAGTGGTGAATGGGTGGTAGACCTTAAATTCATCATAGACGCTCCTAACTTGAGAATAATAGTCTTCCAAACTCAGAGTGCCCTGCTCGAGACGAAAATACTGTTTGCACACCTTATAAGCACAAGTAAAATTAACTGTGCCAGAATAAATCGTTGCTAAATGATCTCATATTTCTTTGGCAGTATGAAGATAAAGCAAAGTGGAGCTCATATGAGACTCAATGCTATTTAACAATAATGAAATAATTTGGACATCTTCTTGTTCCTACTGATCATTTCTAGGGTTATCTTCCTTGGTTTTAATTCCCATCAAGTACTTTTTAAGTCCTTTGGCCTTAAGAAACACTTGAACTGATCTGGGCCATAAAACATAATTGGTCCCATTAAGCTTAAATGTGGTCATGGGACCATTAAGAAGAACTGTGGGAGAATAAATAGGTGAAAGGTGGAGTAATGATAGACTGATTATCAATCTTGGGTTCCATAGTGATACCATAGAAAAATAGACCAAATAAAGGTAAAGGTAGAAACTGTCACTGGAATAGAGCCAAATCAGTCATCGGAGGTTGATCCGGACATAAAGAAGCCTTAGAATTGGCTGAAAAATCACATAAACCAAGGCGAACCGGTCCAAATAGGTCTCAGAACTGAATGAGAGCCTTGAATCGATAGAGTAGCTGCTGAACCGGCTTGAACTGGTTGGAAAATCACTTGAACAATACAGATCCGAGACGAAATTGGTTGGATAGCTGCTGAACTGGTTGGAAATCGTTGGAACAGGACATAACTAGGATAGAACTGGTCTGAAAAGGGCTAATCGATCTGAAAAGAGTTGAACTGACTAAAACAATATGTGAATTGGTCTGAACCGCCAATTGGGCTGGACCTGAATTGGTTGGGCATGGATCGAACTGGGCTCAACAGCAATGGACCTAAACTCATTGGGCTTGGATTGGACTTGAAGCAAATATGGGCTTGAACTTGGATTGGGCTTTGGAAATTATTTAAGCCTATAACCTTTGAGGGCCCAATCTGACTTGGTTGCTTGGAATTGTCTTCTCCACTACGAAGGTTTCAACGAAATCTTAGCTCCAATGGTGCCTTACGCCAATGGCACTACGACGTTGCTAGTAGCCACAACCAACCATTGGCAACAACCCCAAGAACCCCATTGACCTCCAACGACTCTAACTCGATAACCAAATCGATCACATAACACAAAACACGCCATAACATTGGGATGACATATGTCACCTACGGCAACCACAACACACTAGATGACAATTGACCTCCACAACACACCCACAAGGTTTTTGACATTAAACCATCACCCATGACCCTAGACCAGGGTTGTGTTGGGTTACACTGTGTGCTGTACCAACGGGAATTAGAACAAAATTGGGAAAGGAAAAGGAAGAAGGGATGAACAAAAAATTCTTAGATCAAATTTTCAATATCAAAAGTAAATTTTGGATCAATTATACCATGATACCATGTTAAGTTTAGAGAGTTTACTCAACACAATAGTAGAGAGACAGAGAGTGGTCGAATTTAACCTACCTCTCACTAACAACTTGTATTTATAGTTATCTCGTGAACATACAAAGAACGAGTCTATCCTCCAACTGGTATACCTATTACAACCATATTAAATAGTAATAACATTGTAATACTCTCAACAGGAAGTATATAATAGTGAGAAGATTTTGGAGTTCGTGAGCTCAGAGTCAAACTAGATATCGTTATATGCTTGGGCTTACACTTGATTCAAGAAATGGGCACAAACTTGATCTTTGTGCTAATATTCATAATGTGCTTAGGAAAATATAAGTGTTGGGCTGGATGAAAGTAGTTCAGCAAATGTTGTTAAGAGTGTTACTTTCCTATTATGTCATTTTCTTGGTGTTCTACTTTTTTATTTTGTGGTTTTCCTATGATATTCTCTTTTCTTAATATTGTTATTGTCTTCAATATCAATCTATTGTAAATAGGTGATGGGGTTTTGGCAATACGCACCCTATGCACAATATTATTTCATATTCTCTTTCTCTCTCTTCTTTTTTTCTTTCTTTTCCTTAATCCTAGCATGTAATTATTTAAGTTTCAACTTGATATCAGAGCAAAATATTTAAGTGTGTTGGGCCTGGCCCTAGGCGAGCGCCTCACTTGACTAGTGATTGGGCTTTCTAGCACACATCAAGTTGTAGTCGATATGTTTGTTCATTTGTTGCAGTGATCACTATCAGTTATAGTGGGTGCATAAATCCATGTCCATGGTTTTGGTGTTTGATCATTGGTGCAAATTTTAGTGTTTTCCATTTGGTTTAATGTTGGTTTAGTGGTTTTCAGCTCAATATGGTTCTGGTTTAGTGGTTTTTTCTCAGTTTTAGTTTTTTTAGCTCTATTTAATGTCGTTTTAGTGGTTTTTGACTTAATTTGCTTCTAGATTAGTGGTTTTCATCTCGGTTCAATTTTCCTTAGTGCTTTCATTCCGATCTAGAACCGGTTTAGTGGTTTTAGACACAGTTGGTGCTAATTTAGTGGTTTTCATACCGACTCGTTTTCAGCTTGGTTCGGTGCTAATTTTGTTTTCATCACCGTTCAGCATTGGTTTTGCGCCTCGATTTTTTTCCCTTTTTAGTGATTCAACTTCAGTTTTGCTTGGTTTACCCTTTTTTTTATTGTTGCGTTTTATTTGTTTTTGCCAGTGATTCATTGTGGTGTTGTTGGTTGTGTTAGTTTGTGTCGGTATTGTTGTTGGTGGTGTTGTGTTTATCCTTTGCCATCATTGTATTTTTTTTCTCTGTGTTGTCATAATCTTCGTTTGATATTGCTTGTTTTGGTGTGATCGTTAATTTCTTCTCTAGAAAACAAAAGGGATGTCTTAGACTTCACATAGAGCAACCATCAGGACTTTGTGACCAAGAGAAGAATCGTGGAAGTGTGTGTCGATTAAAGAAGTCCCTGAATGGTCAGAAGTCACCCAGAGCATGATTTTATCATCCTTATTGTCTATATGGAGATATTGCGATAAACTCAATGAATTTCTCATCAAACCATTGGCGTGGTTCACCTTTAGTTACCTTTATTATAGCCTGGACAATTTTGATCTGTATGCCCTAGCTCGAGGAAAAGTGTCTCCTATTATGTCACTCGATTTCTCAAATGGTACTGGTTTTGTTTAATAGGACGAGAGTTCACCTTTGAGAGGTTGTGTGGTTGGGAGACTCATCATTAGCTTGTTTGATTCTTCGAGCTTATCCAATTTCTTATGCTTTTAAATACTCCAATTGCTTCTATGAGTCGATTTAGTTGTCTTCCACTCTCTTGGAATTTTAGGTTTCGTAGAGATGTCGATGATATAGATGCTGTGGATTTAGTCCGACTCCTGTCTTTGCTTAAAAGTTTACATTTGCATCATGGGTCACCTGATAAAAGAAGTTGGATTATTGGTTTTTTGGGTAGTTTCTATTGTAAGACTTCCTTTGAATCATTGATTGATGTCTATTCATGTCCACTTTTTGTCCCATCATTGATGATATGGAAGGCTAAAGTGCAAGTTTGTGCATGGACTAGAAATGAAAAGTGCTTGATTGACCGAACAAATACCAATACCATTCTTCAAAGGAGATCTCATGTTTGTCTTTCTCTGCAGTGGTTTGTTATGTGCCAAGGTGATGATGAAAATGTATATGATTTACTTTTGCACTCCCATGTTGCATTGTCTTTGTGGAACAAATTGCTTAATTTGGCAGTATAGGGCTGGGTTATTTCTTGTTCTTTATTTTCTATGTTTCATTGTGGATTTAAAGGGTATTGGAATGAAAAAGAAAAGGTGTTACTCTATGGAATTGTGTTGTTTCTGCCACGGTAAGGTTATTTGGCTGGAAAGGATTGAGGATCTTTGAAGATAAAAATGAAGGGGCAGAATGCTTATGGGGGTGGTTATATTTTCTGGCATCGTGTTGGACTTCGGTTACCAAGCAAAATTGTTCCCCTATTTTGCAATATGGCAAGGTGGATAGATTTTTATAATTTATAGCTGGATTTTATGATGTCATCTTATGTGCCCTTTTGTGGTAAGCTGATAGTAGTATGGATGACTGTCCAACTCTGCTTACTTGTGTAATACCCCATTGTGAATAATAATTGGCTAAAATTGTAGAATGAACCGCTTCCTGACCATAATGTTTGAAGTCATATTCTTAAATCATGCTGTCAAGTTATTACTTATGTTAAAATTTCTCTCTGTTGGTTTAAATCATTTGAAGAAGGACCAGATTCATGAAATCATTAGCTGGTTTAAATTAATCGTTTCCAATTCTAAATCATCATGAATTTCCAGAAAGTAAGATGCAAACAAAGTTGGTAAGCTATTTTCAGCCTTTATTTAAATGAATCATACATTGATTTTTCTGTTTTACAGTTGAATGGCCTTTTTTCTGTTTTGAGTTTTCTTTTTGTTGGGTGGAGGGTGAACATTTTAAAAATGCTTGCTCTCCTTTTATTTATGGTCAGCAACTCTTAGCTATTATGTTTCTTTGTAGAATTCATCAATTTCAGTATGTTCGATTTGTCTTGGAGCTTAAACATCTGAATTGACTTCTTGATGCTTTTCAATTTATTTTGATAGCTTATATCAGCACATCCATCAATGATGGTCCTGGATGTTTGGTGCTGAGATGTCCTGATCCATCTTGTGGTGCTGCTGTCGGTCAAGATATGATTGATATGTTGGCTTCGGATGAAGATAAGGAGAAGTATGATCGTTATCTTCTTAGATCGTATATTGAAGATAACAGAAAGGTAGTTGTATATGGGACTTGTAAACCTGCCATTTCTTAGTTTACCAGATGTCAATTTATGTAGTTTTTGATATCATTTTGATTAAAATAATGTGCATGTTGGCTATTTATAGGAGACTTTGACTCGATCAAGCTTGAGAAATAAGAAGTATGCATCTATTAATTTAAAAAGGAAAAGAATAAAAATGAGTCTGCATTTAACTGAAGAGTGTTCCAAAAGGTTTAGCTTGGACTAACCAGTTTCTTTTCTTTTGTGCCACTAATGCTTTCTTACTTCCATCGCCACCTAGGATTTTGCAATGCACTAACCACTTAGCTAACCTTTGGTCAATTAATGTCTAAAAAAGAATTGACTTCTAATAGTTTGCTTGAGTTTTTTATATATATCAATGGAGCTTGTCATTATCTATGGTCCACAGAAAGCAAAGCGTTTGGGCGCAGTTGTCGTATTAGACTTCCAGAATTCATACCAAACCTTTGGATGTCACTATACTTCACTCATAACATTGACAATTACCCCTTAACAAACACACTTAGAGAACCTCCACATACCAAGCCTTTGTCAGTGGAAATGGGGAAGACGATAGGAGGTTGGAAGATCTGAAAAAGTGTGTTTCCTTTTATCTAAAACACTGCTTCACTTCTCAAAACATTTCCTAGATTTTGCTTCCTAAATTAACATATATAGTTGGATTAGTTGGTCTCATTGGAAAAAATTAATGGGATCCTCTAATCCAACAATTCACAATAATGTTGGATGTTAAATTTGGGAAAGTTTTGGGATACACATCATTACTGCATAATTTGGATGAGGAGAATTGGGCCAGTTGAACAATATTGGCAGTATAATCTTTGCCATATGCAAAAAGAGAGGTAGGATAAAAGAAAGAGATAGTATCAATTTTTATAGGTTTTGAGAGAGTAGGAGAAATTCAAAGAGGAATTTTGGAAGAAAGAGAGCAAGAGAGATAAAAGCTTAAATGCATAATTATAATGGTAGATTGTGTTATAATGAGCTGAGGGATAGAGGCTGGCCCCCATGAGATCTTGAGTTTGAATGTAAGAGACTTTGAGTCTAGGAGGAAGAGAGAAGTTAAGGAAAGTTTGTATGGAGCGTGCCTAGATATGGTGATAATTTCCGAAAATAAATTGGTAGAACGATCACTTAGTCCATTAGATGCTAGGCATAAGAAGTGAGCCTTTATATGGTCTTATGGATGGCTTGGGGTTGTTTTAATCATTTGGGACGGATGAGTGGTGACAAAGGTGGAAGTGGATGTGGGAACATTTTCCATATTGGTTCAATTCTAAAATTTGAATTATAAAGAGTGGTGGCATATAGGGGTTTACAGTGCAGATAGACACTTTTTAGAGGGTGCTGTGGGAGGAATTAGCAAGTTTATCGTACACATCTCGTCCTAAGTGATGTTGTGGGAGTGATTTTAATGCTATTTTGGTGATATTTGATCAGCTTAATGGAAATAGGATCATAAGAATTTATTTCATTTGAGCATTGGTTAATTCAACCACTATTGTCAAATGCAAGGTTCACGTGGTGTAATCTTTAGGAAAATTTGAAGTGTGCTAGATTCAATAGACTTTGAATTAGTGTTATTAGAACCGGACCGGATTTGCTGGTCGGACCGGTGAACCGGGCCCTACACTAGCCCAGTTTACTAAAATGATCGCCTGTGCATTTGACTTATGGAGAATTTGATCAAAACCAGTGAATTGGACGGTCTAATAAAACCAGCCGGTTCAAAACTTTATACATAAAAAACTTCAAAAATAACTTTTTGGCTACTTCTTCTCTTTCTTCTCCGACGGGTCCATCCATACGAACCAGCTAGTGGCCACACCAGTCTCCACTTTGGAATCTAGACGCACTTCGATCTTCAGGGGAGATCTCTTTAGTCTTCTTCTCTGGATCTAGACGGATGCACATCTCTCAATCTCCTCTCAGCCAGACTTTGTAAGTCCCCTTTCTCACTATAATTCATTAGATGACAACGGAGGAATTGAATAGAGAAGGTAAAGAGGAGGAGAGAGAAGTGGCGGGTTGTGCTTTGTATGGGGATTTTAATGACTGATTTTTAAATTTGAATGACTTGTTTTGATTAACTATTCACGCGCTCTGACATTGCAAATTAGGTTCCTTTGGGCACTGAAGATTCATTGCAAATCTACTCAAATTTTTTTTCTACTCAACTTCATAAATTGTATGACAAATTATATGCATTGTGAACATGTTTTATATTTTTTTAGTTAAATTATGTTTTATAATTTTTTTTATTGTATGTCCGGTCCGACCAGTTGACTCAACAGTTGAACAAGTGAACTATTGACTTGGTCCCTCTGTCTGTTCTATGTTCGGTCCGATTCTAAAACACTGCTTGTAATTTCTAATGAGTGAGGGAGTTGTTTTTGATTGTGAGCCAAGAGGTGCTGTCTCCTAAATAGTAGTATTGAATAGTTGTACGTTTAGATTAGGTCCCACAACATTTAAGTTTTAAAAAAGATGTGATCGGAGCATTACTCTTTTAGGAATTGTCTATGGTTGTGGTGGGATGGGTGTTGTGTACAATGGTGGGAAGGTTTTGCATTCGTGAGAGAGTTGAAGATATGTAAAGAGTAACTTAAACTTTGGGGCATGGAGGTAGTTGGAGACATTGAACAAACTAAGAATATGATTCTGAGAAGGATTGATGAATTTGATAAGTTAGAGATGGAGGGAGGATTGAATGAATGTGTGAGAAAGATGATTTTTAGAGAAGAGATCCTTTGGAAACAAAAGTCAAATTAAATGCTTGAAAGTTTAAAGTTTAGAGACGGAGAGTGGTCGAAAACTTAACTTACCTCTTACAAACCACTTATATTTATAGTTAACTCGTAATCATACAAAAGATGTGTATACCCTCTAGTGGTATACTTATTACAACCAGTATTTACATAATACCCTAAGACTCTTAACGCTGTCACTCAAGCTGAACTATATATATCATATAATTCAAGCTTGAAACAAAATGGCTGTAAGACGCACATGACTCAATGCTTTGGTAAATATATTTGCAAGTTGATCTTCAGACCTCACAAATAAAGTTGAAATAATTTTCGCTATTATCTTGTCTCAAATAACATGACAATCAACCTCAATATGTTTTGTTCACTCGTGAAATACTGGATTGACAGCAATATAAATAGCTACTTGATTATCACAAAATTGGAAAGGAGGTTGAACTGGAAAGTCAATTTTCAGGAGAAAGTGTAGTAGCCATGCCAACTCACTAGTTGTATATGCCATTGCTTTATATTCGGCCTCAGTACTAGATTTTGTTACCACCGTTTGTTTCATACTCTTCCATGAGACAACGTTATCTTCTAAGTACAATAATCAGTGGTTGATCTCCGATTAGAAGGAGAGCTAGTCAAATCAGCATTTAAAAAATCCTCTACAATAAGATGTTCATTACCTCGATATAACAATCCAAGGCTAGGAGCACATTGGAGATATCGAAGAATACAAATGACTACCTCCCAATGTGGTACTTTAGGGCATCCCATAAACTGACTTATTATACTAATTGCATAGGAAATATTCGATCAGGTAATAGTGAGATAATTGAGCTTTCTAACCAACCTATGATATTGACCTGGATTCTCAAATAGTGCACCATCATTCATTAACAATTTCTGATCCGGATCCATAGGAACATTAATTGGTCTGTTACTTAGCAAACCTGCTTCTTCTTGCATGTCAAGTACGTATGTCCTCTAGGATAAACAAATACTCTATTTAGATCTAACAACCTCAATATCCGAGAAGTACCTAAGTTTTCCTAGGCCCTTAGTGTGAAATCGGTCCTACAAGAAGATTTTTAACTTGGCAATCCTCTCAAAATCATTTTTAATAATTACAATTTCATTTATATAAACCATCAATAGAATATATCCAACATCCGTCTGTCTAGAAAACAAAGAATGCTCTATTTTACATTGAAGAAGACTAAACTCTAAAATTGCATCTGAAAATTTACCAAACCATGCCCTCAGTGATTGCTTCAAATCATAAAGTAATTTTTTTAACCAACACACATTCTTACAATACTCCCCCGGAGCAATAAACTCTGATAGCTGCTCTATGTAGACCTCTTCAACGAAATCACCATATCAGAAGGCATTCTTGACATCTAGCTAAAATAAGAGCCAATCAAGATTAGCAACCAAAGAAATCAATATACGAACAAAAGAGATTTTGACAACAGTCCTCGTAATCAATACCATAAGTTTGAGTAAAGCCCTTAGCAACAAAATGGACTTTGAGATGCTCTATAGAACCATTTATATTAAATTTAACAGTGTACACTCAGTGATAAGTAGCAGTTCGTTTACCAGGGTAAATAACAAGATCCCAAGTCCCATTATGATGTATGACATCTATTTTCACTTCTATAGTTTTCTTTCAACCCGGATCAGACGACGCACCCAGTAAGTAAAGATAGTAAATAGTTGAGAGGTAAAACACGAGAAGACAAGAGATTAAGATATCATAAAAAATAAAATGAGCAATGAGATGGTTAGTAACACACGATCGAGTACCTTTTCGAAGAGTGATAAGTAAAAAGTCGGAATTATTTGAGGGACCCGGATCAGAGACGGCAAGGATGATGGTCCGGGCACTTCAATCGATGATCGAGGACGACGAGAGTATACACGGAAGGAAGAAGTAGATGGTATCATAATAGACAACGGAATATCTGACGATAAGGGAAGAGGCGGTGGTGTAAAGGACCGACCCAAAGTCCAAATTGTGAGGCTAAGCAAGTGTCAAAAAATACAAAACAGATTCATCAAAAGTGACATCAACACTAGTGAAGTACCGACGAAAGAGAAAACTATAGCAATGATACCCTTTCTATGTGCGGGAGTATCCAAGAAAGACACATTTGGTAGCATGAGGGTCTAGTTTATCTAACTCTGGGCCCAAGCTGTGAACATATCAGACACACTTAAAAACCTTAGGGGTTAAGAAAAATAAGGGCT